AAATATTCCTGTACTTTGGCTTAAATGTTTATAGCTATCTACTGGTCTTCCTCCTGTCCATGTCAGGTGGCTCCCCAGGTTGCTTTGATGCTACTGTATGTCTTTGATAAGCAATTCTGAACCCCTTCAGTTCCTTCAATAAGAAAACACGCATTCATAAAATCACAGAATCCTCAAATGGTTTGGGTTGGAAGGGACCTTAAAGATCTCCTAGTTCCAGCACCCCTGCCATGGGCAGGGACACCTCACACTAGACCAAGTTGCTCAAAGTCCCATACAACCCGGCCTTCTGAACCCCGGCGAGGGATGAGCCAGCCACAGCTTCTCTGGGCAACCTGTGCCAGTGTCTCACCACCTTCACAGTGAAGAATTTCTTCTGAATATCTGAATGTCTAACCTAAATCTCCCCTCTGACCGTTTAAAGCCATTCTCCCTTGCCCTGTCACTACATGCCCCTGTAAATAGTCCCTCTCCAGATTTCTCATAGGCGCCCTTTAGGTAGTGGAACACTGCTCTAAGGTCTCACCTGAGCCTTCTCTTCTCCAGGCTGAACAACCCCAACTCTCTCAGCCTGTCTTCCTAGCAGAGGTGCTCCAGCCCTCTGATCATCTTTGTGGCCTCCTCTGGACTCACTGTGGATTCCCAGGAATCCTTGATGTGAAGTGTCTGCCCTGCTGTCTTTCATATCCACTTACATATCTTCAGTTCCTCCTTGCCTTTCTGACTGCTATATGTGAGATCAGACTTACTGAGGAAATTCTAAAGAGCCAATAAATATATATCCTGATAAATGAGCTTTTTTTATTGACCAAATGCCTAGCAATATCTACACAGGGTATACTATCACAGGGATTCTTGGGTTACTACTAAGCAGCTTTTTGTCTGTCAGACCTTTTTTCTGACTTAGAAACAGGCCTTTATCATAAAAATGCCCTTCTGAGTGCTGGGAGATCTCTCCAGCTTGCATTACAAAGCTTTTGCACAAGAGAGGGCTAAGCAACAGAGTCTTAAGCAAATTACATGCAAATATAATAATCAGCCTGCTATCCACTTTCATTACGATTGATGAGGTTGTTACTAAACAAATCCTACAGTATCTGGTGGCCCTAAGTTTCTTAAAGACTCCCCTCATTAAAATGTTAAGGCATAGCTACCCATGGCCAGCATTTGTCACTTTCGTTGAGCACCGTCCTGTGCAGCAGCTAGAGACCATTGCTGGCAATGGGACAAGTGAAACTAACTCTTCTTGGGAGGGAGTAATGAGAAATTTTACTTCCAGGAAGTAAATTTCCTTAATTGTTTAGATGTCTCTTTGATCTCTTCTTGCAGGTAGATAGGCTTGGGACCAAGGTCTAACCTTAACTGTTGATGTCCTCATTTTGGTGGGTGATTAGCTTGATGTCTCTATCACAGACTGAGGAAAGAACAATTAGACCCTCAGGTTTTTTCAGTGTTAACAACAACAACAACAGCTGAATGACAGGGAACAAAAGGATGAAGTCAGGAAAAATGAAATAAAAATGTTTTCTAGCAATATAGATTATTTTATAATTTTAATAATGTATATTGTAATGTACTTGTAGGCATAATGTGCATTATGAAATAATCAGCAAGAAAAACTTGTAGAGTAAGCACATTTTGACCCAGGGATGGAACTGGCACTGACATTGACTGTCTATAGATCTTCAGGCTTTTTACAGAATCGTCTTTTTGTACATGCCAGCACTCAGGGTCTGTTGAAGAAGGACAAACTGTTCTCAGTGAAACATGAGTTCATAGAATCACAGAATGGTTTGGGTTGGAAGGGATCTTAAAGATCATCCAGTTCCAAACCATAACAGCTTTCATGTTCAAGAGCTATATATACGTTCAACACAGTTATGTTTGCAGAGTTGAGCATTTTTCATCTTGTTAAATGAGTATTTCATCAACACATTTCATCTACAGTTTCTCAGAGTTCTTCATAACTATTGCTGCTACGAGTTATTTGCTTTTCCCTTCTTCCATTGAGCAAATAGTAACATAAATTGCCTCTGATTTGATCTGTTCCACCCTAATTCACCCAGTCTTCTTAGGCACAGTGTATATTACATAAATTCTGTAATGCATATGGATACCTAAGTTTACAATACTTCCCTTTCTCTTTGAACATTTGCTTCATGAATCAGAATCAAAGCATAGAAGTATGTAACAATTGCTGGGAGATGTTTTGAATCTCAAAAGAAAAAAAATACAATTTTTTTTAGAACTCCTATCATCGGGTATATTTTTATTATCTAACCTTCTGTTTCTCTGCTTCTGTAAGTGCATATGTTTCATGCAAATTTCCTCATCTTTCTCTGTATAATTTATTGGACCTAAGCCTTTGGGTTTTTTTATTTGGTTTTTGTTTTGGTTTTTGAAGTATGTGCTTCAGGCTGCTGTGCTTCCTTTTCCCTAACTAGTGTCTAGGACATCTGTCCTGTGAAACTGCAGAAGTTTCATAACTAACTGCTTGCCTGCATTCAAGTGTGTTCTCCCGATTAGCTTGGCATTTCAACGTCTGTTTTAGAGAACTTCTGCAAACTATCTCCTACCCCAAATTCTAGTCCAGTTTTCATGGTAAAACCCTGTTGCTCTCCCACTCCCCATATTCTACTATTTTCATGCCTGTGAAAAGGAAAGCACTACTGGCAGAAGGGGCAAAATATTTTGCCACAAAGCACTCTCTTTATGAATAAATTTTGCAACATGCCATGTATTCCAAGATTTGGAGCATTTTATTTAAAACAGCTTTAGAAATTACTGTCAAGCTGCATTCTTTTCACAACATTTTAGCCTAGGGAGACCAAGCATCCCCTGGTGAGACAGTTCGCGTTCTTCAGCAAAATGTTCTCCAAGTTCAACTATCTAGCAAGCCTGAGGGAAGCATCATTGAGGTCAATGACAAATTTTAAACAAGAAATAAAATAAATAAAATGCAGTCAGGAAGAAATGACAGAAAAACACCAGCTCAGCTGAAATCTGGCCGGTACAACCCAGAGGGCTTCAGTGCCAGCTGTAACTCCAATGCAAAGAGTAATATTGTCAGGGGATATGTCAAGGCTAAGGAATGACATATGGAAATTATGAACTAATAGAGAGACTGGGAGGGCACTGTGGATCCACCCACCTACTAATGATAATTATTGACGAGAAACATGCTTAGTCATTTGTGCACAACTTAGCGATAAGCATGCCAGCATGATGCTTACTCCTAATGTTTCTTGGACAAAGGCTGTTGTTTTAATTTCTTCACCTTTCTTTTCTGAAGGAAACCAGTCCTCCCACTTCCTTCCACACCTGCCTGGCACAGACTGATCCACACATCTGTGTGTGATCACAGGCACTGAGGCATAAAGTAGGTGATGACATGTAGCAGCTGGTTTCCACAGAAAGTGGCTTCACCAGCCCATGAAGGCAACAGAAAATTACTCAAGCAGAAGAAGACAACAGTTTGCTATCAGCTTAGGGACCTGCACTGGGTGATGTGGAATACCAGCTGCTTCCAGAACCCATGTGTGGGAGGAGGTGGAATCCCAGGGGGTGGAAGAAGCAGCAGAATGTCCCTGTAGCAGCAGCAAGTCATAGAATCATAGAATCATAGAATAGTTAGGGTTGGAAAGGACCTTAAGATCACCTAGTTCCAACCCCCCTGCCATGAGCAGGGACACCACACACTAAACTATGTCACCCTTTGACTGCTGAAGTCCATCTAGCCCATGGCGCCTTAGCAGCTGGAGATCTTGACATAAATGAAATGTCCTCATCAAGACATCCTTTCATGGAAGGAAGTTTCTCAGGTCCCAGCCTCTTCATTGGCTGTTCATCATGTGTATTCACTTTATGTGTGATTAGTGATTTGTAAGGGTTGGTGTGTTTAGGGCCATTGAGTGAAGCAAAGGTTTCCCTTTTCTCAGTATAAAATTCCTGAGGACAAATTTGAGAATGGGAAAGCAGGATTTGCTAATGAAGAAAGCTGAATTTGCACTGTGATGGTTCTGTAGAAACAGTCCTGAGACACAGGAGAGTTGTTAGTGCAAGGCAAGGGCTCTGCCAGAAGCACATCTCTCTGGAATGTGACACACCACCAGAACACCACAGACAGATTAATCTAAAGTATCAGGGACAAAAGGTTGTGGTGTACCAAAATGTTGAACAGCTTGACTTGGACAGTCTGCTTGGGTTCCTCTGTGCAATGACAGATCAAAAAATAGGGTTACTAATATCTTACCTGCTTCTGAAGGTGCTCTTAGCAGCAGCTTGTGAGTTCTCAAAAAAAAGTGATTCCACTAGTGTTGTTCATCCTCCTCCCTTGTCACCCTCCTGTTCTAAATTGTCCAATCTAACAATTGTTGTTGCTGGGAGACTGCTCAAATACTTAATTACTTTTGAGTTCTGGCAGTGCCCGTATTAAGAACTCTCCCTCAGTTGAGTGAAGGTCCTCTGACATCCTGACACAGGTCTAGCATTCAAGGATGTGAACAGAACTGCAATCACACCCCTGCTGTCAAAGGTGAAGATCCAGTCAAGGCAGTCACTTGCACACTATGACCCCTGTGCTTCATTCCGCTTTGTCCTTACAGCCCTCCTTCTGCACCATACACCCATGGCTTCCGTCAGAACTACCACAGTGCTCCATAGCACTACTTTTCTAAAGCAGAGGCCTTCTTTCAGCAAGTTTACATTTGCAAAAGAGCTTAATGTTCAGACTGTACCCATGTGCTTTCCCAAAAGGAAGAAATCTGCCCGGGGTGAAGTCAGGCTTCCTTACTGCAATGTAGATGTTTGCCAGAATGAGAAGAATTGTTGCATGTGTAATTTTGATTCTGTTGTATTACAAATGATAATTCTGGAAGGGGGGCTGTGTTATAATTAAATGAAAATTAAAGCCAACTTCTGGTCAAAACTGTGCCTTACAGAGAGAAAAAAGAAATGTCACTAAGCTGCCGGGCTTAGACTCAAACAGGGTCAGTCAAGAAATGATAGACAAAGCCCTCGGGAAACACATTACACCTGTCACCCTGAAATCCACCATCAAAAGCAACCCCTTGTATAGTGATATCCAGGTGGATGATGAATTGGAGAAGAAAAAGACCCCTTCCTGGACTGTGCAAGACTATGACAGACACTCAGTGCATCTTAACTTGGCCAGCCAAATAAAGGTAACTCACTGTTGCACTGCGTTTGAACAAAGTGAATTGCTATGAGCTATGTGGGGTGTGCATGAACCCACTGTGAAACCCACTTAGTTCTTCTGGTGAGATTCCAGAAGTAAATATGGATGTATCTTCTACTACAAACATGACACTAACATGAGTCCGATCAGGAAAAGATGTCTGTGTATCTGGTTAGACTCCAGGAATTTCAGTTCTGCAGAACATGACCTCTGTGACCACAGAAAGTCCTACACTGCAACACCCCACAACTCAGCTTCCCCGTTAATATATGGAAGGGCTATAAATGAGACACTTAAATACTATATAGCCACTTCAACAACTGTTCATAACATCATTCTGTTATCAAATAATGTGCATTTTCTCAGCCCTATCCACACTATGCAGGATCCTGTCTGACTGTGGGTGGGCATAAATCCCTTTTAGGGTTACTTTTGTAAGCATTTTATCTGCCGTTCCCTTTTTTTGGAAAGGGACTCAGATCTGTGTTTATAGATCATCTGTTCTTGTGAAGACTACATGGTTTCTTCTGGATTTTTTAATCACATTTTAAAGGCTGGTGTCCAACATTTGGTTCCTGGCTGAAAAGTGTGGTTTTCATTCTCCCTAGTGGAACATTTGCAGTATCTGGCAAGTAGCACAACCTATGTTCAAGTGAGAGTTTTTGCATTTGTGTTGTGATGCCTTAAATTCACTAATCACTATCTGATGATAGCCAAAATACTTCTGGCTATTCCTAATGACTTTATGTGCAAGACAGGAACTGAGTTAATTTTCTGTTTTTTTCTTTTAGGAAAATCCTAATGATCTACAGTTCTGGATGGGGGATATTTATACTCCTGGGTATGATACCTTGTTAAAAAAGAAAGAGAGAGAAAAAAAGCATTCCAAATGTTGCCGAATCATCCTGCTCACGGTACTAGCTGTTTGCATCCTAATTACCACAGTCACGCTCAGCATTTTACTCACTTAGTACAGCGAAAAAATGTTGATGGGAATTTTTTCAATAAATATTTTTTATTAAGCTATTCCCCTGCTTTGCTTTATTTGATTTTTTTTTTTTTTTGTCACAAATACGATTTGTTTGACATCACTAGTTTACAATGTTCCTGTGCACTATAAGGAATTGATCCTGGAAAGAGACAAATACTCTGAGCACAGCAGAATTTCTTCTTATGGGTATAATTAAAAAAGAAAACTATAAATATGCTACTTTTCTTACTGCTTTCTTTGGACTAGTGATCTGCATCAGTATGTGTGGTATGGTACATACTGTATGTAAACACAATCACTAAGTATCTATTCTAATAAACACCCACCATCTTATTCATCTTTTTATGATAGCTAATATTGTAGCTATTAGTAGAATATAGAAAAGTAAGATAAAGCAGTATTCAAGATATTCCAAAGAATTCTAAGAGAAAAAATTACACATTACTTAGTAACTGAGTGCATTGCTGCAATAATGCAGCACTTACTTAGTAAAAAGTTAGCCTAAATTAAATGCTTTCTTAAACTTTTTCAGAGAAGAAAACCAAAAAGTAGACCACTGAGCTTCTATCAAAATAATCACCTGAGACAGGGTTTCTTCATTCCTGTGTCATGGTCTTCAAACACATATAATCTCTGTCACTCCAAGAAACAGAGTGCCAATGATTTTCCAATCTGACATGTCAAAAGCTGGAGCAAAATTGGTGGAGTAGTAGAGTATAAACTGGAATTGGGATACACCTTTAAAAGGTTAAAATTACATATCCGTGCTATGAAAAAGGGTCCTTGTAAACAAAAGGACCAAAGTAAAATGTTCAGAGCACTCAGACAGTTAAGTTCATAAACCACAATATAATTCAGGAGAATTAAAATGTGGGATAAAATGACAAAATAAAAAGTGAGTGAACAGAGAGAGAACTTAAATTATTTCTTTTCTGAAAAATGCTCTGAGTGCTGCAAACCCTTTACACCCCTACATTAGCATAAGGAGCTATGAATACTGTTGAGATGGGGATCTCCCTCACTGACACAAGAGAATCTCACAGATGCACGAAAGCTGGAAAGTTAGGGTTATAACAGATCTACCTGTCTTCACACAAAAAATGCTTTGGAATAGGTCAGGAATAGGACCAAGGCAGAGGGTATGCATTGCCGCCTCTGAATTCTGCCCTACTTACAGCAGCTTTGCAGTGCTTTAAGTCAGATCAAGATGGATTCAAGTACAGTGTGACAGTAAGATAAGTGTGTTTAATTCCTTCCTTTCTTACCTAGTCCATGTTTGAATCTTGTTTGTACCATAACTACTTGGACGCTAGCCTAGCTTGTACTGGTTCAAAGACCCACACTAAAACAGCTTACTGCTTTAATCTGGCAAGCAGCCAACAGCAAAACTGTAGCAGCATTTTAATGCATTGGCGTAAAATTAGTATCCCTGTTACAGAACTGAACATTGCTGTAAATGTACAAGGTAACTCAGTCTCCTGGCTTGCTGCAGTTTCAGTACAGAGGAGTGTTCTGTATGAACGATCGGATCCATTCAACTTATGAAAGTAAGAACTTGGGAACATTTTACAAGACTAATAGCTGACCTTATGAAGCAATTATTCACATTAAACCAAGAATACTTAACTGTTTTTTCCACCGTAAGTGCATTTGCTTCAAGTGCATTGCATACAATGCAGAGATGTATTTTCATAAATTACTGAGGCCTGCAGGCGGGAAGCCTGAAAGTAAAGGGCTGTGTAATTTCCAGAAAACCAGCCAATAACGCAAGTTTCTTAATTGCATTGCTCTCTGAGGGCCTAGCAGTAGGGATAAAACCGTTTTCTCCACAAGCCCACTGCTGGCAGTTTCAGTCTGGTTTCGCCGCTGTCATATAGCGGAGAGTCAGAAAAGAGGAAAAATCCCTCAGGCACGGAGGTGCGGGTTTGAAGGAATTTGGGTTTTGGGGTTTTTTCTTCCCTTTTCTTTTCTTCTTTTTTTTTTTTTTCTTTTTTTTTTTTCTCCCCCCCCGGGGCGGGGCTTGGTTTTTTATTTTCCGCTCGCGTCGCTGGGATGCGGGTTCCTTTGCTGACACCTCGTGGCAGAGAGCGATGGGCGGGCGGGCGTGCACAGAGACCCCGCGGACCCCCGCGCCGCCCAGCGGACACCCGTGTTTTCAGACACTGGCGCGCAGCGGGAGGCAGAGGTGGGCTGAATGTTCTCTGCGGGAGCGCCTGCGGGACCTGGGA